CTACTTGGCTCAGTCAAAACTTGTGGGCACTGATCATAGCAATTGCAGGGCTGTTGTACTTATCCGTTAAAGACTATCTGTCCAAATCAGTTCATTAAGAACTATTTATCCAAATCATGAGTAAACCAGCCGCGATTCCACCTACTATAAGCGCTATTTTTTCATCGATATTGTTGATTTTTAGCTGTAATATGTGGTTGTGCGTCAGTAGATGGCTGTTGTGGTGACTGTGGTTCTACTATTCCCGTTTCACCTGTGTTTGTTTGCGTTTTTAAATTCGGTATTAATATCTGAATTTATACCTGGTTTTTGTTGATCGGTAGCAATAACAATTTAATTATTATAGCCTATCACTTGACCGATCTTAAGTTCCATATTACTCGGAGACATGTATAGTTCCGGCGCATAAACGTAGTCTACTTTGGATTGAGCATACTGTAATACATCTTGATAACGCTTTATAGAAGATGGTATGTCAACTGGTGAATTAATACGTTTGCAACAAACTGTTTTTGCGCATCGAGCGCCGTCCCAGAACCAATTATTCCCGTTCGTGTTTGCGATTGTGCACCAAGAATTGCCCATACATACGTTCTTATTGATTCATTAACTCTTTCAAATCCTGGGTTAGTAAAATTATTTTCTGTTTTATCATATAGAAATTCATTCCAAGCGTCTGTTATATCGTTTGGATGCACAAACTTTGTAACAATATAAGGCAAGCCACTCTTAAAACTCATAATATCTTCCCTCCAATCATTATTAAAAAGTTGCCAGTTGTGATACCATTTATGAGTTTTTAAGAAAATATTATGTAATCTTACATAAAGTTTGCTTCTATGCGACCACCTGAGTGGATCTACTGGTTTTTTTACCATTTCTTTAGCTAAAATATCACTTTCTACTTTAACAGTTTTTTGTCCACTGTATGGAACACCTAGACCATGGCTAGCTCCTTTAATACGCCAATCTTTACCCGTTGAAACATTAAATTCATTACAAATACGTTCGAAGGCCCTCTTATTGTATGGATTATTTGATGAATTCCATGCTCGATCCTGCGGTAATGGGGCACTAATTTCTTTAAGTATACGTCTAATCTGATAGTAAACGGGAAATAATAAAACAGACTTATTCAGTTCAAATCCTGGGGCATTAAGAGATACACCTCATCCTGTTGTGGCACACCATATGGCAAAATTTAACTGGTTCTGCCAAAATTGCATCGGATTGTGGAACCAATCATGCACCATTTTATCGCTAGTTGCCGTGACCATGTATTTTTCAAAGATATCAGCGAATTTAACAAAACAATTAGCACCAGAGGCACTTACTAAAATCGACTGTTTAGTAATGTAAGTTGATTTCATATTTAAGTTATGATATAGTATCTTTGTATATTTTATATGTATGTTACACTCCCGGGAATAACAAATGGTCAGTCTATTCAACTGCTTCACACTATCGATAACTCGGCTGGTCAACTTGAAGTCGCTATGGACCGCTATGGACCGCGGTGGACCAATATAAGTGCTGCGAGAAATGATAATATGATACAACTAATTAATATTGACAATAGAAAAAGAACTCCCATTATTATACCTAATGGGTATTACAGCGTATGCTCACTCAATGATGAAATTTTTAAGCCTAATGGAGTTAGTTTCACACAAAATGAGTCGAATGGGATGCTGATTTTTAACACTGGAGAAGACTTCTTGCCCCGGACATAGCAGAAACACTTGGACTTAGTAGAGCAGGAGTAATAATACAATCTAACCCAACAGTGTATGAAATTAGATTTCCCAATTTAGTTCCCATCCATCTTGATCAGATAAGTACAACAGATAATATTCAACTCGAAAGTCCTTCAACTCTGCTTAGAGCCATTCCAGTCAAAGATGAAAAATATAATAGCGATAGAACGGAATCTTTCTCATCATTACAATATAAAAAATTAAAGCGCGGTATTATTTCAGACCTTAAAATTTCTGTATTAGATGTAAAACACCAACCTGTACATATAGGATACTTGAGTGTAACACTTCATATTATAAATAATGGTTAATTCATTAGGCCCTGGAACGCATAACCTTAGACAATGTAATACAATTGCGCTTTCCGGTCTCGGAGACACAGAAGGATTCGGTAAACCCGGTACCGATGGCAAGTTAAGCGCTTTACACTTACAAGATAATGTATACAAGCGGAAAGAAATTACATTCACAGCTAATCTAGGAGATTTAAGTGATGTTGACGTTAGTAGACTCAATAAAAACACTTCGTACAATCTTACTCGCAATGATGATAATACGAGAATGGACTATGGTCGAAGCAAAAATCGAGTGGCTACTGAATATCGTCATTGTCCCACCATATGTGATCACGGGTAAGGGACATGATTAAACTAAGATAATAAATAGTGGGATCGTACTCGGGGCTTATATCCCATCAAAACGAAAAAGTGAGTTAGTCTCTCCCCTGCCAGAAAACCTAGGTCATATGATATTGAGTGGTCCGGCAGTACAAAATGTTAGTTTTAGTTTGGTTACTGAATTCAATGATATAAAACAGAACTTGAATGCTATACCTGCTCTTTCTACAATTATTATTGAAGTCTTATTTGGAGATACACCGGTAGATGCCTTCGAAATATTACCAGGTCTATCAATTAAATGGCTTAAGAAACACGAGCGTTGCAGTATTATTTATATGGGAGTATCAACCGTTGCAACCCTTGAGGGTGTCAAAATTATTAAAGGTGATAGCATTTCTCTTACTAAGATATTTATGCCGTATAATATACATTTAATAAGGTTGATGTATACTCTCAAAACATTGAAGCAAGACCAATTAAAGACTATTATATGATATAATAATATACACTATGGGTTCATATCCGGCGCTCGATGAAGCATCTGAAAAGATGGATACTGTTGGTGGATTTCGATAACATCAAATAAGCCCAATGAAACATCGAATAGAGAAGGAGAGGGAGTTGAGACTTGGATTGTATAAAAAGTATCGCAGAGCTGTGAAGGCTCTCGACGGAGTTGACACTGCGCTTGTAACGGCTGGCTTTGGACTCGGTGTAGCCGGTGTTGGTTTATTATCAACTATAATCGCTGTGCCTATCATACTTGGTATGGATGTAGCCGCCGGAGTCTCAGGACTGGCAGGAATAGCGATAAAATATATTTCTCATAAGTTGCAAAAGAAAGCATTAAAACATGGTAATATTCGGATACTCGCCGAAGCAAAGTTGAATAGCATTGAGGATCATATTTCTACAGCACTGTTGTCAGAACTAACCAAATACAATGCAATAAAGCAGCAGATTCGATCCAAATATCGTAAGACCAGTGGTATTAGCGAAGACGAGAAAAAAAAGTTCTTAGAACAGGGCAGACAACAAGCGCGTCAATTATTCCGTGCCAAAACCAAAGAAATGGTTGGAGATTAAAAATAGATTGCTGGATCACGTTGGATGACACCACAATAATTTAGACGAATGCTTACATAGTCTGGTCTCTCAGTAAAATGAACGAAGAACTTAGTAAAAATGTTGAATATCACTTTGTTCATAATAATGGTATGCGTATGAATAAAAATAATAGAGAATATTTTCATTACAATTTAGTTTAATCTCATGTCGATCGTTGAATCGCATCATCATTTTTGCATACATATTTCCATCTGTAGTAGCAGGATAGGTATATAAATCTGGCTCCAGTGGGGTTGCTGCAGAACCCACATTACCTATACTACTCGAGCAGCACGGGCGTTCGAACTGGAGTCTAGTTTTATTCACACAGTGTAACCGATCTTGCCGAGTTTCTCTTATGATATATGTGTGTTATTATGTTAAGTAGATGTTATATGTATGAACACAACCCTTACCATAATCATAAGAATACAACCATTGACGTAAGATCGACCTGGGGTATATCCTGTACACTTTGAATTTTATATAAAATTAATAAATAGACACGCCAACTATTCAACATTTGTAGGACATCTAGTCAACATAACGATATGTGACATTTAATCTATAATATATAATCAATATTATTTTTGACCTCGATTCCACATTTTATACCATGGCTCCTGAGTCTTTGACTGTGCATAAAACACTGCTTGTCAATGATGGAACTTAAATGATAGTACCTTTCACGAAATCCCATCAAATTGTTTTGTAAATAGATTTTCACAAAAAGAATTTTGCTCAACCCTTGTAACATACATACAGAGTATTGGCTGAGAAACCAAATTTAAAGTCAATATAACATACCGTCATACACACACGCGAACATACTGTCGCATTTCGTTTCTGGAGCATAATATAAAACAAATGTTGGACTTCAAATGAGCGTGTACTATTGATAAACTTTGATTGCACATCAAATATCATACATAATACAGCCCTGTTTCAATATTTACATTTTCGTTAATGATATGCTATAAAGATTAATATCGAATGAAACGTTTTGTCTAGGTTTCATCATTTAGTTACGAAACTTGTTCTCACAAGCTTAAGTTCTAACCATAAGTTTGATTGGCATCTTCAGGTAAGTTTTATATGACAAAAACATATTTAAAATGGTTGTCGATCACTTGGCGTCTTGTTGTTTCTGAGATGTCTTCATCTAACCTATCCGCGCTGTGATGATGCTGAGAGATAAGGCTACACATGTGTGAGATACGAGGACGTAATGTATCTCATATGGGAGGAACTCGCATGCTTCTGGGATATAGTGACATCTCTGAAATATAGTGGCGCTAAAGATATCTTATGTACGAAGGCGCTATTTGTTTAATAGAGACACTTAATATATCTGAGAGAAGTTGAGATATCATTGCTGAATGCGGCGTAAAGCCCTACTTACCTACTTTCTCGCCTATATATAGCTGCAATACATCAATCTACCACTCTCACTGTGTGATGTTATTTCACGAAATAGCTCAAACAGGAATAACTGATTCTTAATTTGTTTTAACAGATGATGATGCCATATCCAAGGCTCTGTATCAAAAGGAGCGTGTACTCTGCTGGATTATGACGTCCCCTAAGAATCTCGATGTTAAAGCACGTGTAGTTCGCGACACATGGAGCAGGCGCTGCAACAAAGTGCTCTTCATGAGCTCTGTGACGGATCCAAAGTTCCCTACAATCGGATTAAACGTGTCGGAAGGTCGGCAGCATTTGACAGCCAAAACGATGCAGGCTTTCCGTTACATCTACGAAAACCACTTTGATGATGCTGATTGGTTCATGAAGGCTGACGATGACACATATGTTATTTTAGAAAACCTCCGGTACTTTCTGACGTCCGAAAACAAATCCGAACCTGTATTTTTTGGCCATCTTTTTAAGGTGATCGTTAAACAAGGGTACTACAGCGGCGGAGGGGGTTATGTGCTGAGTAAGGAAGCGTTGAGGAGATATGGGGAGAAGGGTCGTGATCCCAAATTGTGCAGCCGTGATGGTGGTTCAGAAGATGTAGTATTCGGCAAGTGCATGGAGAACCTAGGGGTGAAGACAGTCAACTCTACAGACGCCATGGGGGGGAGCAGGTTCCACTGTTTTAACCCCGAGGCACATCTGTTTGGTGGCTTCCCGATGTGGTATTACAAATACGATGCAAATGGTGCTAAGAAGGTAAGACAAACTCAAAATATTTTCTGTGTTTGGAGAAGTATTTTATTTCAGATATGTTTCTCCCGTACTATACCCTGTTGCATCAGGGAAACTTTCTGATCATTCAATCAGCTTCGAGGTTTCATCAGTTTCTGTACGAGCGAAAGAAACGTGTAGAGCAGAGTATGTATGATACCTATCTATATCTGGTCAGCAGTATGTATAATACCTATCTATATCTGGTCAGCAGTATGTTTAATACCTATCTATATCTGGTCAGTAGTATGTATAATATATATCTCTATCTGGTCAGTAGTATGTATGATACCTATCTATATCTGGTCAGCAGTATGTATGATACCTATCTATATCTGGTCAGTAGTATGTATAATATATATCTATATCTGGTCAGCAGTATGTATAATACCTATCTATATCTGGTCAGCAGTATGTTTAATACCTATCTATATCTGGTCAGTAGTATGTATGATACCTATCTATATCTGGTCAGTAGTATGTATAATATATATCTCTATCTGGTCAGTAGTATGTATGATACCTATCTATATCTGGTCAGCAGTATGTATGATACCTATCTATATCTGGTCAGTAGTATGTATAATATATATCTATATCTGGTCAGCAGTATGTATAATACCTATCTATATCTGGTCAGCAGTATGTTTAATACCTATCTATATCTGGTCAGTAGTATGTATGATACCTATCTATATCTGGTCAGTAGTATGTATAATATATATCTCTATCTGGTCAGTAGTATGTATAATACCTATGTATATCTGGTCAGCAGTATGTATAATACCTATCTATATCTGGTCAGCAGTATGTATAATACCTATCTATATCTGGTCAGTAGTATGTATAATACCTATCTATATCTGGTCAGCAGTATGTTTAATACCTATCTATATCTGGTCAGCAGTATGTATAATACCTATCTATATCTGGTCAGTAGCATGTATAATACCTATCTATATCTGGTCAGCAGTATGTATAATACCTATCTATATCTGGTCAGCAGTATGTATGATACCTATCTATATCTGGTCAGTAGTATGTATAATACCTATCTATATCTGGTCAGCAGTATGTATAATACCTATCTATATCTGGTCAGTAGTATGTATGATACCTATCTATATCTGGTCATTAGTATGTATAATATATATCTCTATCTGGTCAGTAGTATGTATAATACCTATCTATATCTGGTCAGCAGTATGTATAATACCTATCTATATCTGGTCAGTAGTATGTATAATACCTATCTATATCTGGTCAGTAGTATGTATAATACCTATCTCTATCTGGTCAGTAGTATGTTTAAAACCTATCTATATCTGGTCAGCAGTATGTATAATATCTATATAAATATATATCTGGTCAGTAGCATGTATAATACCTGTTTGTATATGGTCGGTAGTATGTATAATACCTATCTATATCTGGTCAGTAGTATGTATAATACCTATCTATATCTGGTCAGTAGTATGTATAATACCTATCTCTATATGGTCTGTAGTATGTATAATATCTATCTTTATCTGGTCAGTAGTATGTATAATACCTATCTCTATCTGGTCTGTAGTATGTATAATGCCTATCTATGTCTGGTCAGTAGTATGTATAATATCTATCTATATCTGGTTAGTAGTATGTATAATATCTATCTATATCTGGTTAGTACTACATTTAATACCTATCTGTATCTGGTCAGTAGTATATATATTACCTATCTCTATCTGATCAGTAGTATGTACAATACCTATCTATATCTAGTCAGTAGTATGTATAATATATATCTATATCTGGTTAGTACTACATATAATACCTATCTCTATCTGGTCAGTAGTATGTATAATACCTATCTATATCTGGTCAGTAGTATGTATAATATCTATCTATATCTGGTTAGTACTACATATAATACCTATCTGTATCTGGTCAGTTGTATGTATAATACCTATCTATGTCTTGTCAGTAGTATGTATAATACACGCGAGTGTGTGTTGGGATGGTAAATGTCCTGCATTAGGAATAAACGTTGTATTTAGCGAGCCTTGGCAGGATATTTACCATCTCCAAACACACAAGCGTGATAACCTCTTTATCATTTAATGTCATTCTTTAATTCTGTGCTTTAAAATCGCTTTCCCTCTCTCACAAACATTACCGAAACATTGCGAGTTTTCCTGGAATGCGCGCATTAATATTTTTTACGTCACAGGGTAAGTGATGTGTCAGTCGGAGAGTGACAGTAGCCAATATAGTTCCAACTGAAATCTGTTTGTTATACAGTGGCGAAGCAACATATACGCAAAACAACAGTTGTTTTTAATTGCCTTTCGCGGCAACCCATCAGTCTGTCCGCTAGAGTAACTGCCCTTTGTCAAAGGGAAGCTACTCTAACCCTAGTCTATGAGACGTCACGGTCACGGTCAGACGTTGTTGACAATCGGTCTGTCCTGTTATAACGTTAAGAAGTGTAGTCAGATGTACACACAGCGACAAAACCAAACAAGGTAACAATTCAAACATATTTCGGCCAAATACAACTATTTTAATTTGTGGAGAAAGTTTCAAGCCGCAGAGGTCTACAAGCACAGATATGGCTACTGATCCGGTTTGGCTAGGCCTCGTGCCCTCGCAAAATTGTTTCGAAATTTATGTCTCCAAAGTTGCCAAAACTTATAAAATGCCTTAGCTACGTCACAGTTAGACACTGACTTTCAGTATATTAGACTGTTCTTTTGATAATGATAGCAATTATCCCTGCAGTTTATCCAGATTCCCGATGGTTAATTCTGACTCGATCGCCGAATGACGAGGGCGACGCCATGTTTGTTTATAAACAGTGAAAGTAGTCCTACTTGACCTTTGATATTTTTGCATCTCTATCCGCATATGACCCAAACGGATATCGTTTTAATCCGTTGATTTTATCCTGCCGAGAAACCTACCCATTATAGTATTTCAAATGTAGACTTTGTAAATAATTTATCTATTATTGATGAAGCTTAATACGTTAATATTGTGATAGTATTACAAGGTAAAATAGCGTTTTGCCGTACTATATATTCCCTTATGTCTAATTTATTGCAGTCCATAGAATATCAACCGAACTGTGAACTCATTTTTGCAACTGAAAAATGTAGCATGGCCTTGAAAAGATATATACAATTGCAGTCTACAGTTTGCTTGTTTTGGAATGGACTTTTTATTTGCTAAGACAAACAGTAAAAATATCCTCTGGGATAGAAGTATTTTATAATCGAGCATATTATTAATGTGATCACGAGTTTCAACTATGAATCAAACTTGACAACTCTTATTCGTACGTATAGAATAAATGTCTACATGCAATTATGCATGAGCGTCTCACAACGTTTTATGGAAATGTTATTTCAGGGCACAGAGAGCATCTCCGACTACGCCATATCCTTCCACTACGTGTCCCCACAGATGATGCACGCTCTGGAGTTCTACATCTATCACTTACGACCGTATGGCATTGTGTCCGGAACCCAGATGCTCAACAGACAAGTGGACGTGAAACCCGGAACTCAGGAGGTCAACAGACAAGTGGATGTGAAACCCGGAACTCAGCAGGTAAACAGACATGCGTAGTGGCACCCAGAACTCAGAAGGTCAAAAGACAAGTGGATGTGAAACCCGGAACTCAGGAGGTCCACGTTACGTGACTGGTGTGATTTGTTCGACAACAAAATTCTTGAAACAATATTACATTTGATTATATATGTAGCTGTGGTGAGGACACACTCTCCGAAAACAATAGGGGATTTTCGAAAATAACAGATGATTACAAAAATACGAGGAGGTCTCGAGTTGAGGATTGAATGGTTAGGAAAACAGGAAGGACTAGGTGTGACATGACAACAAACAGAACATGTTGACGGTGTATTGTGAGAACGCAAACAACCCAGAAAGGCGACATGGGTGTCAAACATTTCCTGAGACCCGTGAAGATTCCGGGGTAGAATAGGTCTTCAGCTAGCCATGCTTGCCGTAAAAGGTGACTATGCTTGTCGTAAAAGGCGACTAACGGGATCGGGTGGTCAGGCTCGCTGACTTGGTTGATGCATGTCATCGACCTTAATTGCGTGGATCGATGCTCATGATGTCAATCACTGGATTGTCTGGTCCAGACTCGATTATTTACAGACCGCCGTCATATAGCTGGAATATTGCTGAGTACGGCGTTAAACAACAAACAAACAAACAAAATTTCCAGATCACTTGGTTGGACTTTTATAGTCTCTTGCCTCGGGAAGATGGTGGTCGCATAACATTTTAAAAAATGTGGACAGTTTACTAATTCAA